GCACCCCGAAGCTGTCCTGTCCCCAAACGCAGCCACAGCTGGGACCCGGCGTGGACCACCACCTGCAAAACCAGACGTGCCAACGATTCAAGAACTGCAACCCAGCTTCTCCCCGGCTCCGATAACCGTCTCACTCCTCCTGTGAGCCCTGCTGCTGAGACCCGTGCAAGCTGCCACTGACCTCGGCGCCGGCCAGCTCAGACCTGCCGTGGGCTCAGTTAAATGTCTCCAGCCCAAACTCTACCAACTCCATCCCCACCAGCGCCGCCTTCCCCCTCTCCCGGGTGCGGGTAAGCCAAAAGGCGCTCTGGCCGGCCGCCGTGAGAGGCGTGCCAGCGCAACGCAGGCCTGACGCCAGGCACCGTACGCCACCGGTCAGTGGGAGGGCAGGACACTTTGGTGGAGACGACCAACACACAGCACCCCAGTTTACTGGTGAACGGCCCCTGCTGCTGCTGAGTGCGGTCCGGGCAGCCGAGGGGAGCAGCAGCTCAGCGCCCGGCATCCTTCTCGGCAGATTACCACCGCTCGGGTCAACTGCTCTTCAATTATGCGCATCCTCGTACCCCAGATATTACGTCTCTGCTTCTTTGCTGAGATTGTTTACATTTACATAATGAAAGCACAAAACACAAAACCTTCCAGTTCCTCCATGTACCCGCAGCATGTCACAACCCATTAATAAATTCTAGATGGGAGGAATTAGAAGTGACATCTCTGGAAAAAAAATATTACCCTAATTTACCATCAAAGAGCAATCTACAACAAAACCGAACAGCTGAACCACCACCACTGACGCCTTTAACCCTTTTGGAGCCGGTTTATTTGCCCAGCGGTCCTCTACAGTACTGTCTCCCCAGGAGGAGTCCTGCAAGCACTTAACTCGTCATACTCTGAACCAGACCGGACTGAATAGTGGAAGATGTCTCCTCTGAGCAATCTCGTACCAGCTGCAAGGCTGCACTGGATGTCTCACAAAGCCTTTTACCGGGACGCTCTTATTCCCACATGTGCTGGAGGCTTCTCACCAACATGCATGTGGGAAGCGCAGCCCCAGATCCCCTTTAGGGCACAGTTTGCAATAGTTCAAGAAAAATAAATAACCTGAATATCCCCAAAAGCGTCAGCCTCCCTGCCCACATGGAGGGCAAATGATGACACGAAACAAGCCTTTTCCAGGATTTAGCTGAGCATTGTTTCCAGGGACACGCGAGTCCTGCTACGATTTAAACCTCAAGGGACAAATGGAAGTGGAATCCCAGATCCCCACAACTCTATGGTAAAGCCTCTCTGGATTAAAAGCAGGTGCTGGCTTTGGCGGGCTGCAGACGGAGTCAGCGCTGCTGCACCTCTTCTGGCAGGAGACGGGGGAGGGAGAAACAAGGACCAGTAATTTCTGTAGAATACGAGTGCTGTGCCTTCAAAGTTGGAATTTAAATTCAAAAAGGAGGAGGGAGGGAAAAATGGAGGAAAAGCAAAACACAAAGAAATAATTCTGCTGAATAGATTAAATACTTTATCATCTTGTCCTGGCTGAGGATTGACCTACTACAAGAAAAACACTTCAAACACTGTATTTATGCCCTTGTTTGAATATTGACTGGATTTGCCCTATGGTTCAAGATGAGATATACTGTTCACAGACCTAGGATGGTCTTAATATACATCTTAAAACTGGGTTCAGAGTAAAATGTAAATGGGAGGGAGATTTTGAGACTGACTTAGAACCGAACTAACCAAAATGTCCCAAATATGTCCAATTTCTGGAAGCCAGAAGAACGGGAAAAGGGATGATGTCCTGTATCAGATCAGCAAATCCAAACTTGACCTTGTGGTTTAATTTCTAGGTCAAATCTATAAACTGGAGGAAACCGGACATAAAAATATCACATTAAATTTACTCTCCAGCTGGGCTAAGATAATCACTGATTTGAGAGCCCTTCTCCTGTCTGGAGAGGCAGGCATCCCAGCGGGCTCACGCTGCTCGCTAACTGCACTTCTCCAGCTGCCCCTGTTGAAAACAAGTGACAAAAATCAGGAAGAAGGCAAGAGCCACAGAGCCAGGCAGAAGGTCCATGTAGCCCGGCACGGGATCCCCGAGGGCAGGCACTAGCAAATGCGCGCAAGAGAAGTGGAGGAAGAGGGTCAGCAATGCCACCGAGCACGTTCACAATGTTTGAGCTGCAGGGCCGCGATTCCCCAGCCCGAAGCTCTTTCGGGCTCTTTCTGCCCCGTGCCCACTGACCACCCATGATTACACTAGCCGGCACGACGAGGTCCTCAGTCCTACTCGCTTCCTTCAAACCACCGTGACTCCTCATTCTCTTACCACATTATGCACTCTCCCCTCACCGTCAACTGAAGAGTCCCGGTCCACCTGACTGCGGGATTCCTGCAAGTCTTTGATGCTCTTTTTTAATTTGGTTATCATTAATAATTCTGTATCATCAGCAGACTTTGTCATTTTACTATTCATCCTTTTCTCCAAATAATTTATTAGGAACTCC